GACTGTCCTGTCAGCACAAATTCATGCCGAGGTAACAGGCTGTGCTGTCTCTGCGGACCCCTCTCTCTGGCCAGGAGGCTGTAGGGCCAGAATCGTTCATTTAGCAAACAGCTTAATTGTTTCACATTTTAATTAGTGGAGAGGTCCAGACACAGTCAATGTATTGCAAAGGGCAGCAAGGGGAAGGTGTTGGTGGACCTCGCTGCTGAGGCCGGGCGTGAAGAGAAAGGCTCCTAGTGACACCAAGCATCGGGTAGCTGTCACAGGGCAGCTGCTCAGAAATTGCAAGGATTTGTTCTCTAAACCTGGCTGGTGTAAGGAGAGATCTGTGTATTCACTCACTGCGTGTAGCTGCGGAAGCATCTGGAGAAAGTGCAGCAGTTTGCTGCCCTTATTTCTATTTGTATATAAATATAATCTTAAACCTCTAGGTTTGGCTCAGGGTACTTCTGCAAAGGTTTGTTCTGTTCTTGGGCACAGGCTAGCACTTGTATTTAGGCTGAGAAGCAGTGTCAGAGGTGACAGATCCAGCTTAGTGTGACTCAGCTTTCTTCCTCAGAGTATTTTAAATAATGGATGTGCTACTGCTGGCATTTAACTCCTGCCAGAGCTGCTGAAATATATGGTGTCTTTAAAATACTGCTGCAACATCGAATCTCTGCTCAGGCAGGGGAGGAGATCTCCACCTGGGATTGGTTTTCGCAAAAGGAAAAAGAAATCAGAGGAAGAGGGGAAGGGAGGAGGAAAAAGCTTGAGCCATAATATCTTGTAACTGTGAGAATGCCCTTCACCTGAGGCAGTGAAGCAGTCAGCTCTAGCAGCGTGTTGATGGAGAATCCTGAAATCGATGCTGCAGTCTGCGTTATATTTATACAAGCATATGCACTGCGCTGATGACGAGGGAGAGAAAGGGCTGTTCCCTGCGTTCAAATAATTAGTGTAATGAATACAGCCTGGCAAGCGCCAGAGGAAGTAGGGATCCCTTTGTTCACATCTCGCCACTTAGAGCTGGGTAAGCAAGTCTTGTGGAGTTAAACTCAGAATTTACTCACGCTTTTATTCTCTGTCTAGAGGTCTTGAGCAGGACGTGCTGCTGATGCCAGACTTAAAAAGCGACACTGGATCTCCTGCTTTAGAGTGATGCTGAGGATTTTATAGGGTTCTTTTCTTATTTTTCATTCTGTTCATGCAAATCCTGACTGGTAAACGAGGATCTGTTTGCTGTTTAGCAGTCAGTTTGCTGGGCTTGACAAAGGTTATTGCAATAATTGATGTTCCTCTTCTAATAATTAATGTTAATGAGTCCACTAAACAGTAAACAAGACAACAAAGAACTGTTAATGAGACAGTCTTTACTCATTTGTTTAATCTTTTACTAAGATAATGGGCGATAAATATGTCGCTATTCAGCCATCGTCAAGTCCTTAATGCATGGGGAGTGTTTTAAAAGGAGATTTGAGCTGATTTTTTACACTTGCATTTAGTAAATTCAGCTGACTGGGTAGGTGGGGCGCCTGAAAGAATTGGGAGACCTATATAATTAAGTGCCTTGACATTCTGCTTCTGAAGGACATTGGCAGATATCCAAACGCTATGTTCTGCTCTCAAACTATTTAATTGAAACCATACAAAAGGGAGGGGGGTGGAGGGGCAAAAGAGAGGGAGATCTTGGCAAAAACCTTATGTGCAGTTTTTTGCTATTGGATTGACCAGACAAGGCAACAAAGCTGATAAAACAGGATTAGCAAAATTGCATTGTTGGATATTATATGCTGTGTGACATGTACTACAGCAAGGGAATTTTGCAGGATTAACCTGCAGAGGATAAAGATGTACCAGACAAGAGGGCTGAATTAATAGACTGCTGTGACCAAAGCAAGAAAATCTATTTGCATGGAATATTAGGGGCAATAATAACCTTTCAGAGTGGGATTGCAGTTAAAGCCCTGAGTCTAGTGCTGACCCCATGCCCAAGTCCTGCTCACTGCCTGCAACTCAGTGTACAAAAACCAGCTCGTTGGCATGGCTTCTTATTACTCTTTCCTGTTTATAAATAAATAAATAAATACACACACACACACACACACACAAATGGTAATTCCTAGGCAGGATTATCTGTGTTACTGGGTGCGTTTGTGTTGGTGGAATCTTTTCCCCCCAAACTGAGAAGTTTATTTTGCTATTTATAGGAGATCACTTTCTTCTCCTAATGCACTAGTGTTATCCTAAAGTAAATATTTGGGTTTGGTGGTTTTCCTCAGGGCTTCTAGACCCAGCCAGCCATGGGGGAATGCCGTTCCCTCACTGTGTGTTATTCAGCTGTTCAGGAGATTCTGCACTTCCCTGCATGCAGTTGAGCTGAAGTCCTAAAAAAGCTTTCAGACCATGTAGTGCCGAAGAACCTAAATGCTACTGCCAGTAGATGACTAACTAAAATCATATTAAGTAAAAAAGGGAGAATATTAAAATTAAGAATTTTAGATGTACACAAAGACTACATTGGACTATTTGACAAGGGGATAAAGAAGCAGAAAACCAGCCTCTGTCTCTGGTGTGTTTAAGGGGAGAGAAAGTAGATTAAGCATTCATTTCTCATTTGTACAACATATAATTCTGTTTTTTCACTTGAAAAGGCCTTTACATTTCTTTCTTCTAGACTACAAGCAATGCATATATGGTAGCGTGCTTTTTTAAAGTAATCTGATATGCTTCAGCGCAGATTGTATTCAAGGATTCAGAAGGATTTCAGCAACCTTGAAAAATGCTCATATCATTTGCTTTCCCTTCTCCCACCCACAGTACTAGTGGCAGACTTCAGTGTTCCCAGGGAACAGAGAATGTACTAAAAGTATTTGGCATTGCTCTGTGTGTGACACAGTGTGGTTCACTGAGTGTGCTCAGTGCTACCACAGACAGTGAAAGATCTGTTCTGGTGAGATGACTCCCCTTCATCCAGCATTAGCATGTCACCATTGACCAGTACTAGCCACAACACAAGTTCAGCTTTCTGGTTCTTTCTTTCAAAGGTGAAGGTTGATGGGAATATTAGATACACATAAAATGTAAATACTCTTTTTATTTGTTTGTTTCAACATATTAAAATTTTGTAAACTGCTCTTTAAATAAAAGCTCTGTTAGTACATTACTGGGACTTTACAAGTGTGCACCCATGCACGAGTGTCAAGAAATTTATTTCCATTTCCTACAGCAACTAGATTGCATAACCGGTCTCTCTGGAATATTTTTTGCTAGTGCATATGTTACTCACTTCCCTGCCCAGGGACTATACACATCTCCCTTCTCTGCAGGGGCATGAAGTTTCCATTGGATTAAATTGGGCAGTGGGCATGGAGGGAAGGATGCTTCCTATGCCTCCAAATCCAACCCATTTCAGGAGAACTATTAAAAACCAGCAGTTCTCCCTGGAGGTGTGCTAGGCTGTATATCACTTTCTTTCTATCCAATGTTCTTAAGGACTTCCTCAATGAGTCCTCATCCCAGGATAGTCCTGAACTAGCTCACAGAAACTCTGCCTTCCTCTGGATGTTGGTTGCTGAGAAAGGTCTCCAATACACAAGATCAAGTTGATTATTTGCTTATTTTTCACAAGTGCATAGATTAGTTAACCCAATAAGGAGTTGTTGGCAAACGCTTAAGAAGGACCCAGCCCTGACAAGTGAATCATTGTACCACCAGCGAAGCATTTTGAGGGGAATCAGGAAGAATTGCGTGTCTGTTTCTGTGGCATTCACATTCTCTGGACAGAGAGACATAATTCTGTCTCTCAGGAGAAGCACAGAGAGAAGAAAACAATCTTTCTCTCTGCTCCTTTGTTTTCCCCATGTGGAATTTGGTATGGAGATTGTTTACCTGAAGTGATTGCTTGATTGGATTCTGGTGAAGGTTGTTTGGGTTCAATGACCAATTGGATCCAGGCGTGTATCAGACTCTCAGCAGGCAGTCATGAGTATGCTAGTTGGTAGTTAGCTAAGTAACAAGTACATATGTAGAATAGGATAGTCTCTCTTTAAATAGTATATTAATGTAATATAGTATAGTTTTAATAAAGCTATCCTTCAGCCTTCTGATCTGGAGCCATACATCATCATTTCTTCCCAATCAGGGCTGCCTTTTAAACTATATGTTTCCACCTCTTTTTGTCTGCTTGAAAAGCGGCAGGAGCACCTGGAGCTGTGCTCTCCCCAAGACCAATTCTGTAGTGGTGCAGCATTGCAACTCTGAGCCCTTGTGCTGCACAAGAGACACGCTGAGTGCATGCTGTGATGGCTGGCATGCTCACCAGTGTCAGTCCTGCACAGGGAGGGAAATTTCCTTTTCCCTTGAGTCCAGAATCTGTAACTCCTCTTGTGATTTTACAAGAAGCTTACTTTTCCTGGTCAGCAGTGTCCCTCAGCTTCTGAGAGCTCCCGAGGGATGGGTGCCTTGGAGGGGAATGAAGGGCCTGCAGGCCAGGACATCTGTGGGATGGGGAGCACCTTTCTGAATGCCAGTGTGCTGGGAAGCTTCTGGGAATGGACCACACACGTGCTGGTGTCTCACCCACCTCAGAGGAGCAGACGGGGTGCAGACATGAAGGTTCATGGCCACAGTGCACTCAGGAAGCAAACTGGTCCCTCGGGCCCTGCTCTCCTTTTGACAACATCCTGGGATCTGTGAAAAAGCAGCCTGCTTCTCCCATGTCTCTGAGGGCTTGGCTGAGTTTCTAGGTTGCCGCCTCCGCCTTCCAGCCTCCGGCTCTCATGAGATGAGCGCAGGGAATGAGTAGCAGCAGTGCAGCTGTACACATTTGCAGTACTGCGCTGCAATGGCCACCTCTGTGAAGACTTAGAGTTTGAGTGCCAAGCCATTTTGCCACTTCTATTTCTTTCTTTTTTGTTTTTTCTTGGAGGCATACACCCTTCACACATTTGTATTTCAAACAGACAGGAGTGTGTAACTGCTGGGGTCGATGGATCTAACCCTGTCACTTTGCTTTCCAGCACTCGATGGTGTAGAAGATGGACTGTGGAGGAGAAGGACAGAGCACAGAGGAGCCCAGGAGCAGGGAGCCTGGCCAGGGGCCCCCTCAGGTGCTGTGCAACAGCTGGTGTTGTGAATCAGGCCGTCACCAGTCGGAGAACGGCTACTTCACAACACCAGGGTCGCACCGCACCACGCTTCGACCACCGGCTGGAGAAGAGCAGTGTTTCCTGTGGGCAGGCAAGGGACATGGAGCACCTCCTGGCTGCTTCCACGCAAGCCCAGACCTGCAAAGGTAATCAGGTGCTCAACTCCTATTTAGGCACCAGCCTCCCACTGAAGTCTGAAATAGAAGTTAGGCCCCTAAATATCTCTGTGGGTCTGGCCCCGAAACCCTGCGTCACTGTGCAGTGCAGAGCTTCAGCAGGCACAGGGCAGAACTGTCAGCAGTATGGTCACTGCCCGTTCACATGCCACATGAATGTTAAGGAACAGGAAGCTTTTATTAAGCTGTGGAAAGCAGTAAAAAAAACCCCCTCTGCATGCTCCACGTGTGGTTCTCCCTGACAGTTGCATCTGTGGTCCTTGCCTGTGACTTGTTCTGATCCCTTCCCTACCTCGACACCCAACTGCGTAGTCTCTGTAAAAGGATATGTACATACCAGGAAAAAGTTGGGCTCCTTGCTATTGATACTACACCTGGTCAGCCTCTGCCAACGTGCCTCTATTTAAATCAGCCCTAGGTGTGGTGTGTGAAAAAATAAACAGTGGCATCATCCAGAAGTGGTACCAACAACTGCAGTCCTTAAAATAGAGAAAACGTTGCTAAAGCAGTGCCTCATAAATTCCTAGGTGTAGAGGGACAGTGAGGCACACTCTAACCAAGTGACCTGCATGTAACATGTGCCATGCATTTCAGGTTTTAAAAACAGGCTCTTCTCTGCCTCCTCCTTTGTACCACACCAGCAGTGTGATGTTAGTTTGAGAGGAGTGGGTTACAGAGGACTGCTTTCCATCCAAATCTGGGTCAGGTACATGGAGGTTGGCACATGCCTGATGGCAGGGGTATACAATCCCTTAAGTCAAACTGAAATGCTGATCAGTTTGGATCTCAGAAAGCAGGCATGTGGTCTTGGTCTCAGGATGGGGTTTTCTTTGGTGGGTTTTCCCTTCCTCTCACCCCTCAGGATGGCTCTTTGCTCTCAGGCGTGTCTGGCTGTTCCTTGTATGATATAAACCACTAGATATGTCTAAAGCAAAGAGCTGAGAAGTGCAGAGAGAAACGATTCAGGTAACATAGAACCAATGATGGTTTTTGTGAAAGTTTTCTTCATTATCCTAACTCATGTGACTGATGATGGCAGTAAAAATTATTTAAATTCCATCCTGGATGTATTATTGCTGGCAGGGAAATAGACATAGGGGAGAGTCAGGATATAGTATCTGAAGATCTGAAATAGTATGGGACAGCCTGGAAATGCAAATGCAAGGTGACAATGGTGGTTTAATTGGACCCATCCTAATTTTTCTGTTCAGGTGGACTCCCTGCACAGGTAGCCTTGAATTTCTTCTATAGCAAAAAGTCAAATACCTTGCACAATGTTAGAGATGTATGGGAGGCTCATTCATAGATTAGGATGGTAGCCTGTGGGCTTTTGTCATTGATGAGAGGGAAAACTAGATTGTGTTTCTTGTTCATGTACTATGAATTTGTGAATCCAACATGCAAGAACACTGTTTTATTAAACTTGTTCTCTGCTAACACAAACTGTGTGCTCTGTGTGGTAATCTCATTGTTATAACCTTGTTTTAAAGCCTGAAACTTTCTTTACAGAGTCTGTTTCTTGGGGCAATGCACAAAATTCTTTAGAAACAGAAGGCATCAAGGAAATAGTCCCAACAACCATGCACACACACTGATTTACATAAGCAGCTATTCATATAGGGAACTAAACACCATTTCATCTTTTATTGTGAGACAGAAACCTGTTTTACCTATTCAGTTTCTCTCAGTAAATACACATAATATTTGAAATACATTAATGGTTAATATCCACTGTCAGGTGACCTGATAGACTATCTCCAACTGTGATATGTAGAGACATGTCATTTGCAGCTCCTTTTGTTAAAGAACTTCATGGGAAAAGCCCACTTCAGAGGTACTTTTGGGGCATCTATTGTACTGCAACTCTAACTCGAATGCATCACCCTTTATGCTCTTCTAAAGTGATTTCCTAGCAAATTAATGCAGGCCATAGTACAGCTCTGCTACAGAAAATCAAGCACTCCTGCTTGTCATCAAGCAGCCTAATCATATCATCTTGAGGAGAATTGCTGGTTGAAAACCTGACTGTCAGCTTCAGTTGATGGAACCAATTTCTGTTTGCTCCCTTCAGCAGTTGGCACGTGCTGCAGTGAAAGGTGAGTGCACAAAATAAATAGTTCAGTATAGGTTTTACATTTGTGGAGTGTTATTCTTAACTAGTGCCTACAGTTCATCTTTCATGTCAACCCCAGTTCTGGATGGAAAAATAGGTGCTCACCACGTTTCTGGACAGCCCCCCAAAAGAGAGGCAGGCCCCTGCAGTGTGGATACACTCAGAGAGTTTTCTGGTGCTTTACAGATCTTTCTCCTACTTGTGTATTGTAAAAAAAGTGGAAGTTTACCCTGCAAAAATACCCCCATTAGAATTGTTGAAAGGCTTGATTTTATAACCTTAATAAAACACTGTGCTCAGCAATGACGGTAGAAAAAAGAGCAAAGTCTATCAAACCTGAAATGCTGGGCTGTAGTCTCTTGTGAGATTTTTTTTTTATGGGGTTGTTATTCCAAAAGTGGTTCTTATATCTAAGCAAATAGTATTTAATTTCACCCTTGAACCCTTTGAAATTTGAATGCAATGGGTTTATTTTCCCAGCACATCTGCACTGTTCTTCAATTGTTGTGAATCAGTTTTTTTCTTTCCTTCCCTAGCTCACCAGCAGCTCACATACCACTTCAGAGAGCAGCAGCCTTGTAAATTTTGTTCTCTTTTTCCCTGCATACCACAGCCAAGCAGACAGGCACAGTAGGGCTCACCATCTCTCACTTTCTGTGTTTGCATGCACACTGCTTTGTTACTGTAGTGTTCCTCATGAAAAGTGCCATTAACAGATTTCTTCTTCATTTCTTTAAGTGGGCTTCCCCTTTGGCAAGAAACTAATGTGAAATTAAAATGATATTTCAGACTGCATTGCAAAGTAAACAGTAGGTGGGGCTGAATTTTTTTACCCACAAACCTGAGTCAGGTTTTATTTCAGTTTCAGACATAAAAGTTTCACAATGAGAGGGGGAAAATACAGCAACAGTCTTCAGGCATCTTAACATGATGAGCAAGAGGTGACATTAAGGAGGGGGAAGAGAGGCTTGTTCACATCTACTGTTATAAACACAGCATATTAGGTATATGAGATTGGTATTTTTAGAAAAATCAAGACTCCTCACAGTATATAGTCAGGCCTCAAATGTGCACATAAAAGGGTCAGAAACATCCCCACTGTGCAGTGAAGTGGCACCACAAAGAGCATAAAAACCACTTGGCTAAATTACCAAGGCTAAATAACTTTCACTCAAAGATTGATGTAAACAACAGAAGAGTGCAAGCAGTCTCTAAAGATAACATAAACTACTTGTAGAAGTTTTATAACCTATCCTCTAAGGAGATTCTCTCTACTTAAAAGCCAAAGCAGCAGAGACTTTGCAGTGTCATACTCTTTGTCTTTATGTATATTGGAAATTCCAAAAATTATGATGCTTCTTTGACAAACAGTTCACTTCATTAACATTCTAACAGTTCACCTCCTTCATTAACAAGACTAACTACCTGTACCCCAATAAATGAGTTTTTAATGTTGAATTTGATTAGACCTAGTTCTCCAACCATGCATTAGCAGGAAAGCGCTGCCCACACATGCAAGCTTAATGCACGCAGCTCTTGCTGTCAAAGACCATTTTGGAAAAAATGATGTGCAAAGCAATCCAGCCAGCTGCACTCTGATACCCACTTCATGCCAGGAAAACTCCTCTTCTCACAGGGACGTGGCTGGGTGTCAGGAGGGAGGCTGGCACCAGGTGGCCACCCTTGTACCACTGCAGCTTTGTCTCTGCTGCTGCTCTGTCTGCAAAGTCTGGGGCAAGGGTTTGGGATGGTCTGGTTCATTCCAGGTCTGGAATAGCACAAAAAACGCAGAGCTGGGAAGATGTCTGAGGTCTATATTAATACTCTGAGTGTATTGCATCTTCATGATTCAGCTAAAAATGTTGGCAGTTTGGGAGGAAAAGCTCAATTTTAGAGAATTCTGGCATATGTCAAAAACTCAACATCCCAATACGTTGCCTGCCATATGCCTTTAGTGAAGTGGTTATTAAGATAACTAAACCTTAATTCCTTCCCTTGCATAGGGGTGTCATGCTCTGAAGTCTTTCTGAGCTGGTCTCTGATGCTGGGGATGTGTAGCTGTGGTAGCCTGTGTCCCTGGGCTCTTCAGGAAAGCCAGCAGCCTCTCCATGTGAATAGTAGCCGGGGACTGAAACAGCTGCGAACTCTGCAAATGGTGTTTCATTTCCAAATCTCCAGCTGAATCTCACCACTGCAGATGAGTGATCTGGTGGAGGCAGAACTTTGTGCTGGTTTTTGTAGGTGCCCACCACCCTCAGCTGATACTGAGCAGGACAGTCTTCTGGAAAAGGTGCTGCTATTCCCATTTACCTGACAGTCCTATTCCTTGATAAATAGCAAAAGGCTTAAGCCTTTTTTAGGGGGTTTACATTACTATTTTTTACTATGTTAGAATAATGGTTTCCATAGTAACAGCCATGTGGGTCAGCACATACCCTAACTCTGAAGATACGTTGTGGAAGACTCTTGGAGATTAAAAATCCCCAAATGCCTGAGGAACCACTGTACATCCACAGGGTGTTACCAGAGAAAGTACTCCTGTACTCCATAACCTCTCCCTTTGCTGGATTTCAACACATCTAGTTTACTATTTTATTGCTCCAAATAAACTTCTTGTTCAACTGTGGGGACATCCAGAGAGACCTGTCACACAATGACAGCATCTCCCATGTCAGCTGCAGTGTGTGATAAGTCTCTGGTGAGAAGCAGCAGCTCTTTTCCTCCAGGAATGGGTTTTGATCTCTTCCCACTTTCTGTAAGTCTAAACCCAAAAGTATTGAATCACATTCTGGAAGCTGTGTTGCTGTAAGAGCCCTTCTAGTTTTATCACTCAAATTAAAATCATACTGGCTTCGAGCCTTGAATCCAAAATGGCAATGTCTCTGCTGCTTAATGACAAGGTAAGGGAAGTGGAGCTGGTGACTGCTCCCAACAGCACATGCAGAGGGAACAGCATCACTCATTCTGTCATGGGGGAGATGTGTCTGCTGTCATGAAAAAGAAACGCAGAAATCCTCTCTGGCTGCAGCAGTGCAGCAGCGAGCATGCAGGCAGCTGCCTGCGTGGGAGGTGGTGCATGCCCCAGGGCCAGGGCAGCCACAGCAGCTCAGTCCTGGGCAGCTTTGGGTGGAGTTGGCTTGTTTTAACCCGTGTGAAAGACAACCCACATGGTTGGGCTTGGTTTTTTCCTTTATAAACAAAGGAGTTAAATTTGTGCTGGGGAAAAGGGAGACGTACACCAAAAAGCCCCCCTGTCCCTGCCAGGAGTAAGCAGATTCCCAATGGCAAAATACCATTAACACTGATGCCTCCATCATGATGAAGCTAAGATTCTCCCTCAGTGCCTCTCCTTGTCTGCCTGTGTCCCAGGCACATCACAAATTCAGGCGCCTTCAGCAGGCCTGCAGCTTCATTCACAAGAAGCTGAAGATTTATTATTTCCAAGACAAGGCCCTTAAAAATACCAGATTGCAAAATACAGATGTTTATAGTGACTGAAATACTCAGTGACCAAGAAAACCCTCACATGAGCTTTCTTTTTTAATAAAGCAAACTGCTCTGCCTTGTCATGTGAATTAATATCCCTGCAGCATGGCTTTGTCTATTTATTCCTTGCTGATGTTGTTTTTGATCACTACTAGATGAAAATGAAATCTTGGATGCTTTGGGGCTGTTCTTAGGACAGATTCAATGAGATGAAAACGCATTTCAGGAAATATCACTGAAGCCAGTTTTTGTTTTAATTTCCAGGGACACAGAGGGCTCAAATTCCCTGGAGTCAGGAGGAATTGCAATTGAAGAAAGGCACACTGAAAACACATTGGAAGTGTGTCCTTCCAATCCTCCAAAGCAAATGTCACCTAGAGGCATTGCTGTTATGCCTCTCAATCACAAACTCTTCAAGACAATGGTTTGGCAGTCCATGTCCCTTTCTTCACAGTCTTTTTGAATATTAAATGGTCCCTGGGCACAGGGGCCAGGGCTGTAGCACCCTAGCACACTTTCTACTTGCTGGACCCACATCCTCTGTCCTTCTGTCCATCAATCCATCAGTCTGTCCCATCAATTCTGTCGCCAGGTTACTCAAAGCCCCATTGCAGTGGCTGTTTGGCCTGCTCATGGCCTCGCAGGCAGGTCCCCAGCTGAAGGGGAGCACGGGGACTTCACCCTGCACTGAGGTCCTCTTCTGACTCTGTTGTGGGGCAGCCTCTTTTCTCAAGCTCTTGTCCCCACGACTCCAGCTGGGAGGTGTACCTGGCTGGGGAGGTGGCCTCAACATCAGGTGACATTCTGTAACTCAACACTTGTCATTACACAACCAGCCTAAGGC